CCCTATAGTAATGTGGCAAGTGTAGCAAGCTTATGACAAATTATTCAACAAATCGATATTCTTAACGTGGAGATATTTACTTTCGTCATTTTTGCGCATGTAGATGCGTCCATCACGCACCCTCACGTACCTGTAGTTCAGTTCTTTTGCCTTGGTGCGGGCTGCGGCATGAAGTGCCTTATTTTCAGGACTTAGGTGCTCAGCAACGTAGATTGCAGTTTTCTTATTTCCACCGATACCTAGGTGACTAGTATTCAGTTTGTCATTCTGGTTGCTTTTGTTGAACTTGGTTGTACATGCCAGGAACTCGTCACGAAGGCGTTGGCTATTGAATCTTACGAGTATAGACCGGGGACGGGGACTAGTGCTGTTTAATTTAGCCATTCTCGAACAGTGTTGGATACTATTCTCGCCGATAGCACACTTTATTGTTCTTCCCAACTGTTGCACGATGTTCATTAAGTTCTCCTGCTTGTGCTCAGGAACACACTGGATCTCGATATTGGAGGACCGCGACTGTTGATCCAGAAAAGCAACTTTGGCCATAAGACCGCGATTGTTCACACGGAGATCTTCACATTCTCGCTCCAATTGTTTCATTGTTGCAGATTGAGCACCCTGCACAGATCTGATCCTTTCCAATTCTTCGTTAAAGAATGATAGCGAAGATTCCAAGGTTGACACAGCGTTCTGAACTTCCATTAGCTTGGGCAGGAAACTCATCTTAAACAAGTTCTGTAGCTCCTCTCGAATAATGTCACGGATCCCCTCAGCTGANTGCTGCAACAGGTTTCGTAAAAAATTACTCATCTTTAGTAGGAAACAGCCTCAAAAATATCGTTTTTATTAAAATATCTCGAACAATAAACATAACCTAAAATGTAAACATTGTCTGATTTTACCAATTTGGCCATTGCTGGGAGACCTGAAAATTGGGCTCATGAAACCTTCTTAGGTATTGTAACTTATGCCCAAATTCTAGCACTGTAACGCCAGGCCCAAGTTTGTATGGATTTCGGGTTTGTCCTTTTCACGATTGACTTCCACGATGAAGGAATAACATCGTGTAATAAAAATCAAACCCGCAAAATTATAATTTGCGTAATTACTGGTGGTAGGACCTCTTGTGAGTCCGAACGGGTAGGTACCACCGCCTTGCCTATTTCTGCCGTGAAGCAGTAATGCGTTTCGGTTTGAAGGGTGGGGCAGCCGTTGTAACTACACTGAGACCTTAGAACTTATATCTCAAGGTGGGTGGCGCATTTACGTTGTAGATGTCTATGGGCTCCAGTAACCACTTAACATCAGGTGGGCTGTGAGGTCATCCACCCATCTAAGCAATAAAAAAAATACAATATAATTGAGATGTCACCTCATGTCTTAAGGTGGGTGGCGGTATTCACGGTGTGATGTCTATAAGTTCTGGTAACCGTCTAACCCTGATGACGTGTTCAGTAGGTCGGAGCTCATATTTTACAAGCGTACTTATCCGACCACGATGGGGCAAAGCAAAGCCGCCATCGCCCGAAACATATCTTGTCGGATCCCCCGGATTCACTCTCGGTGCTTTTTGGCCTCTGAAGCAACGGCCACCGTCCTCGTCGAACTCATGGACTCCGACAAAGAGTTCGACGAGCGAACTAACCTAAAGACACAGACAAACTGAGTCTCTCGCCGGATCTTCTAAGTGGGTCGCGATTCCGATTCGGTGGTAGATTCTGCGAAGCACTGCTCATGCTAGGGCTAGTGTTAGCAAATGGAACCCGTGAGCTCAACCACCCGTCGGGGCGTTGTTGGAATAGCCTCTTAAGCTACCAGCGTATAGGTAGGGAAAAAAATATCATTACAAACGTATGCAGCAATAGATAAATAAATAAATTATTGTGTTGAGTATTTGCGCACAATGGAGGACTAAGCCATAAAACATTCCACAACGGATGTCCCTCATTAGTACCTACTAGTATAAAAATGTGTGTACAATTAATTAATTTAGGAAACATACTCCTTACAAATAAACTATATTACGTGTAAAAACTGTAAAACAAATCCGGAGACAGTGCAAATGGATTTCTTTAATTAATTTTCAAGAACTTTTGCACCAGACTTTTGTATACTATTTATATTCCTTTAAGAAGAATTTTGTAGTAAAACCCATAAACATAAGCTAGGTAGAAAAAAAAAGAAAAACATACACATTCACCTCTTATATGTACGAATAGATGTATGTAGGAATGTATATCTGTAAATATACTGTATTAACCATTTCACATGGAAAAAATTCAATTCTTTGATATTATTATTAGTTCATCGGATTCTTTAGCCAAATGACAAACAATAAAATCCTTGTATTTTTTCCCAGTACATTTGTCCTTCACCATCTTACTTGGAAAAATGTAGCACATTTTTAGTAGCACACTTTTAAAATTGAAAAGGAGTTCTTTGAACAGATAATTGAGTCGTCTATTATCAAAGGTGGCAATCTGTGCATTTGGACAAAAAAATGTTATTGATATGTCAATACAGATTGATTTGAATATAATTGTCTCCTTCAAAGAATACGGTTCAAAACCTGCATTAAATAAAGGTTAACACTTAACCTGTTATTTATCTAAGATGTCGTTCAGAAGAGGTTTGTGACTGCCAATGGAATACAAAGTCAATAATACCGTTTTTCTGATTTACCAATAATTGTCCAAAAGTCACATTGCCGGCTTTGATAATAGTCGACTCAATTATGAAATTGCGAATTTTTTTCTTGCTATAGTTAGGATACACGCACTAACTTAAAGTTTTTCTTGTTGCTTATTTTACTAACGTTAGAGTATAAATCGAAAAGTATCGCGGTATTTTTATACAAAAACGACTATGGTATACGAAATATCTGGTGGTAGGACCTCTTGTACTGGTGGTAGGACCTCTTGTAAGTCCGCGCGGGTGGGTACCACCACCCTGCTTATTTCTGCCGTGAAGCAGTAATGCGTTTCGGTTTGAAGGGTGGGGCAGCCGTTGTAACTATACTTGAGATCTTAGAGCTTGTATCTCAAGGTGGGTGGCGCATTTACGTTGTGGATGTCTATGGGCTCCAGTAACCACTTAACACCAGGTGGGCTGTGAGCTCGTCCACCCATCTAAACAATAAAAAAAAAACAATAAAAAAAAATAAAAAAAAAAATATATCTCTAAAACAGTATACGAGTTAGTCACAAAACACATTTCATGCTGGGGACCAGATGGAAATATGCCTTACGTACTGTGTGAACTTATAATCAGAACTACTTAAATCTAGAACAGACATTCTAAAAGGTTGAAAGTTCATTATTATCGGAAATATTTTACTCCAAGAACAAAAGGGGACGTAATGATAAAATATCCGAGCATACCTACCTATACCCTGCATATTTCTAATGCCAAGAAGCAGTAATGCGTTCCGGTTTGAAGGGTGGGGCAATCGTTCTACTGTAAAAACTGTGACCTTAGAACTCATATATCAAGGTAGGTGACGGCATTTACTTTGTAGATGTATATGGGCTCCGGTTACCACTTAACATCAGGTGGGCCGTGAGCTCGACCACCCATATAAGCAATGAATAAAAAAACCTAAGATCGTGGCGCTTGCAACAGCACCGATATAATGAGGATATACCTACATATGAAATGTAAAAATCGTGGTAAGAAACCCTTAAATAATAGTATGCGTAATGTTAATAGCCGCGAAAGTTTAAAGCGACTCATTTACATTCGTAAAGACGTTTAAATATGTATTATTATTATATTAATACTTATTATGCAGTGACATAATAAGTGTTCAACGCTCAGACAAAGAGCAAACAAAACTATTCGTTACTAAACTCTTTACCGGTGGAAAGAAGTCTTGTGAGACCGCACCCGTAGGCACCACCGCCCTTCCTATTTCCGCCGCGAGGTAGACATGCACATCATTTCGAGGGGAGGGGGTAGCCATTAAACTATACAACTGACACTTATAACCTGAAATTACAAAGTGGAAGACATTGGGTCACATTGCGATTTCTTTGGGTTTTTTTTTGCCGAGATGGGTGGACGAGCTCACAGCCCACCTGGTGTTAAGTGGTTACTGGAGCCCATAGACATCTACAACGTAAATGCGCCACCCATCTTGAAATATAAGTTCTAAGTTCTCAAGTATAGTTACGACGGCTGCCCTACCCTTCAAACCGAAACGCATTACTGCTTCACGGCAGAAATAGGCAGGGTGGTGGTACCTACCCGTGCGGACTCACAAGAGGTCCTACCAACAGTAAACCACTGAACATCATGTGGAACGTGATCTTGCTCACATATCTAACAAATAAAAACCAATCAAATGTTTGTTGGGAGTGGGAATCGAACCCACGAGCTCGGTCGAGAAGTCAGCGCTAAAAACTGCGCCACCGGGTCGATCAGTCAATAAAACTAAATTTCGAGTACTATATTAATAAAACGGCAAATTAGTATGAGTTTAAGATGAAAGTCCGTGAACCGGATAGAAAGTGAAATTTCAATAATGTTGGAACTTGAGAAAGTATAGTGGAGAGATGTTTAAATTCAAGAAGATTTTAATTGACAATGGTATTTATTTATGAATCTTAAAACGCATATACCTACTCGTAATATCAGTTGAGTATTTCAGTTCTTTTATCATTATTATTGTATAGTAAATGTGTCCGTGAATTTTGAACACGAACTTAATTTTCCTTATGAATTAACTTCCAATATTTTTTCCGAGAAAGAAATTGCCTAATACATATTTGACGAACAAACTTTCGTATGAATTGTTACTGTTCAAAATATCGGATACCGGACAAAGGATATATTTTTTTAAACGTTAGTTTTTTATTTAAATTATTATATTTACGGATAATTTTTAAAAGGCTCTTTAATTTCAATTATTAACCAAAAAGAAGACTTTACAAACAAACATCGACTGCACTATTATGAAATAGTTAAAAAATAAAAACAACTATATAAATAAATATACAAACCGCTCGTATATTTCCATTCCCCCATTCCGCTATTTTATACTTCACAAAAGTATCGGACACTTTTTTATTTCTCAATTCGAGACTCATTTTCTGGGACAAATGTATTTGGGAAATCAACAAATATCTCGTTGCTGTTGACACGAAACCGCGCGGAATGACGAACCGGCGTGCGCGCCGCTGAAGTCGCAACTGGCGCGATCACTTTACTTTGACGTAATTTAAACAGTTGAATAACTGTAGTGAATTGTCGGATTGTTGCTTAGTTGCAGTTCATACACAATTTTAAATCAAAACGATGTAGGAAATAATTAACAGCCATTAGAAAAAAAATGACCTTGATTTTTCCCGGGCCTTTCTTTCCCTGTTAGCCTTAGGTTCAATAATTTTCTTTGTTATATATAACAATACGCGCACACAAGCACGTGCATAACTATGACAATAATGCAGAATCGCCAGTGAATTTATCAATCACTAATACGACATTTTGTAATTAAATGTTCGGAGAGAGAGACGCTAGTCAAGGCAGATGTATGCATTTTGGCGGGAAAATATGAATAAGGAGTCTTGAGATTTTTGAAGAAAAATTACAATTAATAATATTTTTGATATCCCGCGGAATCAAAAAAAAGCGAGACAGACATTCGCGCTATCATGATATGAAGAAATAACTTTCAAATAATGTGTGCTGTGCTTTGTATTACACGTACACCTAATGCACCAGTCACCGTCCTCGCCGAGCCCATCGCTTGCTACGAAGGGCTCGACGAGTAAATTGACCCATAGACACAGCCCACTGAGTTTCTCGCCGAATCTTCTCAGTGGGTCGCGTTTCCGATCCCGTGGTAGATTCTGCGAAGCACTGCTCTTGCTAGGGCAAGTTTTAGCAACACTCCTGGTTTGAGCCCCGTGAGCTCATCTACTAGCTCGGTGAATCTAGAATAAACCTTTGAGGTTACTAGACTAGGTAGGGGAAAAAACACCGAATCTAAATATTTTTTCTTAATTAGTATATCTTCGTTTTTTTTTTGGGTTACACACATAATTAGCATAACTGTAATGATTTAAGCCCATGTTTATTAATTCCAATTTCAAAATTGCTATTGCCCTTACGATTACAACCTTTTTAATGTAACTTCTAGGCCGTTAACAAAAAATAATCAATCTATCTTAATTTAAAATATTTTAAATTTAATCTTTATAAGCGCGTCTTCAACGGTATCAGGCGATAGGTGGTGTTATTAGTTTTTCTGAATCGAGCTATGGTTATCTTACGTGATTTAATTTCAAATACATTTTTATATAACGCTATGACATCGATGCGTACACACTGTCCCGAACTGGGAGCAGTGATAACATAATATATGTAGGTCCAANCTGCTACAACATAACACGCACAACCAGACAGCTTTGATTTCATTGGTCATGGCAGCATAATCCTTCAAGGAAATATTCAAGCAGGAGTGGTGAAATACGGCATCACAACGGGAACAGCGCAAGAACGGCGTGTCCTTTATTTTATCGAGGCATCCCGCACATTGGATAAGGGTTGCCATTTTGATGATCGGAAGAGAAAAATATATTTAATGAAATAAAAATATTGCTGAATTCACCTCTGAAGTACAGTACGCCGAGTACGGTCCTGTGTCGTTATTTCAACCGACCGTCGCGTCGAAGATGTAATGAAGGTAGTTTAATGCGGCAATCCAGATGTTTTTGCGTCGAAAATGTATTTACGATATCCCAAACGTCCTTATCGAAGCATCAAAATGACGGAAATACACTAATTATTGATTACCACAATGACTAAGAGTCGGCACTTTACTCAACACTCGAAGATATCAAATTAAATGAGGAGCAAATTTGACAAGATGTTGACGTATCGTTGACGTACGTAATCAGTTATGACGTAATCAATGACGTATCGTACGTACGTAATTGGAAATGACCAGACCAAATATGTCACAGAACGGATAACCGATGAAGCAGAATAGTTCTTGAAAGAGGGGCGTTGTAACGGCAAGCTCTACGTGAGGCGCCAATTGAGGGTTCAATTGATAATCTAAGATGGCAGTTTCGAGTACTATGCAAGAATATTATTTCGGATAGTAGAGACACACGAAACCCGGTATAATAAGCAGGGAGTATAGCAACTTTTCACGTAAATGACGATCATCATTATTCTATTTTGGCTTCGGGCGATTTTTACCAACATTACCATTTGCCATTACAATATTATTTAGTAATGGAATGAGTGCAATTGAGCCACAATTTAAATTGTATATTTTGAGAACACGTTTAAATATTATTATTTTTTTACTAAATAAATTTCCAGCCATTATAGAACTCGTTATCATTCTTGCTAACAGACTGGAACTAATTATGGTTCATGAAGTGAACACCGATAGTGACAGTACTGCAGGCACAGTCACAGCTTACAAATTAGTGAATGTATATTGTAACTACATTGTTGTAACTATACTCAGACCTTAGAACTTATATTTAAAGGTAGGTGGCGGCATTTACGTTGTAGGTGTCTATGGGCTCTGGTAACCGCTTAACACCAGGTGGAACGTGAACTCGTCCGCCCAGCTAAGCAATAAAAAAAAAAAAAAACCCTTTGTTAACGCGCTTTTATTAGCTTCGTATGTAGGTATCTATGTAATGGAGTATTTGAACGTGATTTTCACCCACTTACGGTTTGTCTCTGCTCCTGGCATTGCTGGGCGACGGTAACCACTAACCATCAGCCGTATGCTCGTCTGCCTACAAGGGCAACTAAAAAAAAAACTTCGAAATGTGAGATTGAATTGAAAGCTCGCACATTTATTAAAGACCGATAAAAATACGATTTTATATAATTGTCTGATTATCCTCAGGATTTTCAGGATCAATGACGTGACGGACATTTAAAACAGTTTGCTGCTTTCCTTGAATATGTCGTCTTTTCTAAGGCTCCTTCTCCGGAATCGAATATAACGCCGGTAGTCACGGAAGCTTTCATCTGATAGAAGAACTTGATTACTCAGAGTTGACAGGAAGAGTCCCATGCAATGGTGTTGACGTATTAGATAAAATGATTAGATTACGAAATAAATCATAGCACAATCTTTAATTACTTGGTTTCACATCTATACTAAATTTAATAAAAACCATATTCCTCATTATTACAAAATTATCATCTGTAAAGACTACAAAAAAGCAAAAATAAATGCCTCTTTAAAAAACTAAAAAAGACTTTTGTAGCTGAAGAAAAATTTTCAATGTGTAAAAAAGGGAGGTGACAAAATTGAGGTGATAATTTTATTGTGAAATAAGCATGGAGTGATTTTAAGATATTTTGATAATTTTGTAATTATGACTTTACTTTCACCAACATCTGTTAATAAAATCTTTACAGTAATTGATCTCTGGCATCACACACATTTGTTTTATTTTTTAATCACAATTTTTTTAGCTTATTATCTTAGCTATTTCTTTAGTTCAACTACCAATTACTTATTTTAAATAAAAAAAAGATAGGGATTCAATAGCAACATTTGGGATTTTATTAAGATTTTTTTAAAAGTATTTTATTATTATCTGACTAATATTATCACATATAATATTATACTAAATGATACACTTTAAATGCTATTTAAAAAACTAGATACTACTATAACTCAGTAGATATGTATGTATATAAAGTTTCACACATAACTTTAAATATTGCCTACTTTACTTTACCTACATATTTAAGGTATGATTACATCTTATCTTTTTCCCAATATCAAACTATGGCTCATAATATGTGTAAGTGTATCTTTATAGATATTGAACTAGTGATAAAAAACACAAATTCCTTAACTGGACTAACATTACAATCATCTGATAATGCAGCAATATTATACGTATTTACAGTTATTAATCCACAGTAATTGCCATTATCAGAAAGATTACTGTATCACATCACTTGAAATGATTATCCCTTAAATTATATTGTTTACATATATATCAATATTCTACCACACAAGGAGTTTACAATAATTCGGCCACAATTCTTTACTAAAAAGTCAAATGGCCCAGATCCACAATGACAACTAATGGTGACATTTAAAATTAATAAAAGAAGTTATTGGATTCATACATTTCATTTCATTGATAATATTGAATTGTTAAATTAAACCTTATTTTTATTTCCATTAATGTACTCTAAAGTACTCCTACTACTAATGTACTCCCTAGCTAATGAAGAGGTTTTTCATTATCATCTTCCAAGTATGCTGAAATACAAAGCCTATAAGTACGATGGTGAATGAAAGTGATTGATATGAAATCTCCCATAATCCCTCAGAGCATTTACCTTACAACCTACAGTTCAAAACATAAGACAAGCCCCTCCACAGACGTTGAAAATTATTTTCAAGTTTCAGATCATCATTAATCCAAACTTTTTATGCATTCATTTAATTTATATATTCATATTCAAAATTTTCTACTTATGATACATTTGGTAATCAATTCATTAGCAATTTTAAATAATTACTTTAAGAGGTTTTTTAAACTCATATAAGCCTACCACAACTTACTGTATGTTGCAATTTCACTTACAAGAAAAAATCACTCACTATTACAGTCAAGCTTAAACAATAATATAAAAATTAAACTCAAAAATATAATAAATCTAAGTAAATAAAACAATGTTGTATTTTAAGACCATTAGCTATACTTTTCAATTGATAGTGCCAAGATAGTAAGTAGGTCAAATCATTAACTCTAACACTAGTTTCACACCTGCGTAATGTAAATTTTTGTTAATATTTTTGGGCATTATAATTCCAATAGCGTTCGGCATACTTGCTCTTAGTTGTCCCTAAAATTGCACAACTTTTCGACACAAAAAAAAAGTGATATAATTTCGTTTTATCATTAATACCTAATAAATTAAAAAAACCGGTCATAAAGAAAGAAATAATATAATTTTTGTTCACTTTAAAATGTGTCACTTACGGTTTTAAGCTTCTTCTTTGGTGCTGAAGGGCCATCCACAGTTGTTTCCATAATTGATGTTAACTATAAGTTATTGAATTTATTAATGTACCTAGTAATTTCACTTATGTTAATTTATTTTAAATTAAGTTTAGGTACATCTAAGTACTTGTACTTTGACAGAAATGCCGACAGCAATCACAACTGGAAACTGACAACTGACAAATTTGGCAACATTATCATTATCTTTGTTTTGCTTAATGGACACGCAAAGAAAATGTATGTATCCCATTTTAAAGGAGTATTTTGCATATAATGTAATATTTTAACAAAATCCCTAAATAACTTAAACTTTAAGAAATTATTTTATAAGAAAAAAGAAATAAAATATGCTGTTAAAATGTTTATGACCGGAATACCGTTTAAATGTGTTATTAAGAAAGCTGCTGCCCAGGTAGGCGGCCACCTCCATGACGACCTGGACTTAGAGTCCATTAGTAAGTATCTTCAGTCGGCATCGATGCGCCACTTCGATAAAGCGGGACGACACGAGAACTCTCTCATCGTGGCCGCCGGTAACTACATTCCCGATGCTGCGGACAGAATGGTACACAATTGACGTTGCCCAAAACACGTCATTTCGGATCCTCCCGATCCACTAACAGTGTTTCCAGGTACCTCAAGCGCCGGTCGTCGTTCTTATTGAATCCGTCGCTTGCGACGAAGGGCTCGACGAGTATATTAACCCTCAGACACAGCCCACTGAGTTTCTCGCCGGATCATCTCAGTGGGTCGCGTTTCCGATCCGGCGGTAAATTCTGCGAAGCACGGCTCTTGCTAGGGTTCGTGTTAGCAACATCGTCAGGTTTGAGCTCCGCTCACTTACTAGTTAAGGCTACGCTGATGTAGCCTCTCTCAAGGCTTTCAGCTTAGGTAGGAAAAAAAAAACTTGTAGGCGGCCGATTGTACTTGGCTGAATCTTCGAAAATAGATATTAATATGGCTTTTCGTATTAGTTTATGTATTATTAGAAGTAAAACTTTCTTTCGTCTATTAACTTGTAGCTTAAGGGGCTATTCTAGCTACGCCCGGACGGGAAGGTGAGCTCACGAGCTCAGCATGAGAGAATTTGCTAACACTAACCCTAGCACTTGAGCAGTGCTTCGCAGAATCTACCACTAGTTTTTAATCGCGACCTACCGAGAAAATTCGGCGAGAAACTCAGTGGGCTAGAAATAAAACAACTATGAAAAGAAATATTTATATTTTAATAATTACACTTAAGTGACAGCTGATGTCAGATTCTTGAATAACATCACATTAATAGCAAAAATAACAAGTATGTTTGAGCACCGATAAAACCGGCGAAATATTTTTGTTAGATTAAAATTTTTTTGTACCCGAAAACCAGTTATTTTATTTTACTATGCTATACTTGCACACAGATATTGAGCTACCATTACTACAGTTTTTATCCTGAAGAGGTATTATAATAAAAAATACATTAACAAACAAAAACTAGTTCGAGCTCTGCTTAGTGCTCTTACCGGGGAGAAATTCGTTCCGTTTTGGACTGACACTATTAATAAACTGTCGCAGTAGCGGAAATAAAAAAAAGATTTATGACGTCATAAACGTCGCAATTTTTCTATTGTGAACACTGGTGTTTTCGAGGTAAGGTGTTGTCAATGCTTTGATCACGTGATCACTCTATCATTTTATTTTTTTATTGCCCTTGTAGACGAGCATACGGCCCACCTTTTTTTTATTTATTGCTTAGATGGGTGGACGTGCTCACAGCCCTCCGGGTATTAAGTGGTTACTGGAGCCCATAGACATCTACAACGTAAATGCGCCACCCACCTTGAGATATAAGTTCTAAGGTCTCAGTATAGTTACAACGGCTACCCCACCCTTCGAACCGAAACGCATTACTGCTTCACGGTGGAATTAGGTGAGGTGGTGGTACCTACCCGTGTGACCTCCCAAGAGGTCCTACCACCAGTGATTACGCAAATTATAATTTTGCGGGTTTGATTTTTATTACACGATGATGGTGAGTGGTTACCGTCGCCCATGGACTTCAGCAATGCCAGGGGCAGAGCCAAGCCGCTGCCCCTGGCATTGCTGAAGTATGCCCACTGAAGTATGAAACCTTACTTTACAGGTCTATGATCATGCACTCATTTCAATGATTCAGTTATTTATCATACATTAAATTGCTTGAATAACAATATTTTCTTTTACGAAAAAGTATACTATATCATTATGTAATTTTTAAATATAACTTAAGTTATACAATTATTTTTTGTTGAAGTGAAAACGAAGCCGAAAACGTCGATGACAATATACTGTACTGCATTCCATTTTAAGCAGCAACCAGTATAGCTAATTAAGAAGGAACGGCTTTGCAGTATATTAAATTCATATCAAGCCTTACAGTGCTCGCAGTGCAAATCGGTACGCAGCCTGGAAATACATTTTTTTAAGGGATTTTATGACCTGGTAACTGAGACCTTTATGTCAAGTCATAATTTAATGTATATTCTTATTTTTATGAAAAATGATATTATGGAGTGAAATTAAATGAAATAATATGGGATTAAATATAATGTCAGTAAAATGATGGTCATTTACTGAGACTTTTTCAGTGGACTTTTTGTAGGATCCCGACAAATTACGTCCAGTGGCTTTGATTTATTTTCCCACATTTGTGCACTTACACAGATACAAAATAATGAATAACGTTCTTGTACATTTAAACCTGAAGAAACACTAAATAGACAAAACTAGCCACACAACTTCACTCCTCGCGTTCCCGCCAAAAAGTATTGGAAATACATAAAACCCTCCGTGGTAGAGATGTAACTTAGACGGGAAAAAATCAATTGCGAATAATCGATTTTTCTTTGCTTAAGATAAATCTATTTGTATATTGATAAGAAAATAATAATTCATTTTTTCTAACTTTTTCAAAAAGTTCCTTTGCTATTGCTACTAATTTTTAAGTATTATTTAAAATTTCATTGAAATTAAAAAAAAAGGATTAATTCAAAAGAACAAAATGATAACTTAGTAGTCTCTCAACTTAGTACAAAGAAAATATTTCTTTAAATTTAAACAATACCTAAAAAAAGAAAATGGTTTAATCGATTTATTAAATATCTGTTTTTAATATTTAGAAAATCGATTATTAACAATAGATTATAACAAAAAACTATCTCTTAGGTTTTATAACCAAAAAGTTAATTAATATAAAATCGAAAATTTCTCGACATCACTGCTTTTTTTTTAAGAGATTTTATGACCTGGTAACTGAGACCTTTAAGTCATGTCTTATTTTAATGTATATTCTTAATTTAATGAAAAATGATATTATGGAGTGAAATGAAATGAAAATGATTAATTTGAGACATTAATCAACTGGGATGAAATTAAATGAGATGATATGAGATGAAATCTAATCTCAGTAAAATGGTGGTCATTTACTAAGATTTTTTCAATGGACTTTTTGGAGGATCCCGAGAAGTTACGTCCAGCAGCTTTGTTTCATTTTCCCACATTTGTGCACTTTCACAGATATTAAACAGTTAATAAACCACCATTATTACACATTTAAACCTGAAGAAACACTAAATAGACAAAATAAAACAAATCACACAACTTCACACCTCGCGTTCCCGCCAAAAAGTCCACATCTCTGCTTCGTGGCATAGATATCATAGATAATATACTTTTTTATATTTAGTACTCTGTGGAATGCAAATGACAGGGCAAGCATATTTTATTTATAAATTTCATCTAGAAGCAAATTGTACGAACACATTTATTTGTTATTTAATTGCTTGTAATACTTGGACTCAACCTTTGGTTAATAAACTCGTCAATACTTGCTGGAATTATCATTACGAGTCGCTGGAATCGCGTATATTTATCACATAAATTCGCCTTCAGCTTTAATCGACGAAGGTTACTTGTGGAAGATGCCTTCCATCACAACTGAAGAGCAGAATGCCACCAATAACGCAACCTCCGAAGGACCTGATCAAAATGATAAAATGTGGAATGCTCTCAAACGGTACATACTACGAGAAAGACAGAGAAAAAAAGAAGGTACACCAAAATGTTATACGCTTATTACACTCTAATAATACTTAAAATTTAATACATAAGCGAAATGTAACAGAAGTTTGTATAATGAAATAATAAAATTAAAAGGTCAATTCGATATTTAATTGAATTAATAAATCACGATTTTTTGTGTCTGTTGATATTGTACAACAACTATTGTGTTATCGATTTTGATCCTTATTTTTATTTTTTAGTTATTTATTTATAAGACTCAATACACATTACAAGCTAAAAAAGATACAAATAAATAAAAAACGCATGTAAAAGAGCTGGTTTGTAACATAAGCCAAGTAATAAAATAAAAAAAAAACTTTTATATTTTATCCCAAGTTTATATAACTATAAACATTTTTAATTTTGATGTAAATTTTCTTTTCAATATTAAAAATATAAACTACAAGACTTGTGGAGATGATCGTGATTATGAGAACATCTCGAGAAGCGACATGAGGATAAAAATCACATTAGAAAAAAAAAATATTGTATTCATTTTACAAACTATAGTAGAATTGTTTTGTTCGTGCAGCTTGGGTCATAAAGCATAGCCTGGCTAAGGCGGCAAGCATGTTGCACGGGCGCAACGCCATTATCGATAAAAACAAATGAGTCATCGAAGTCACATACACGGCAGCCGGGTGCTATACGAAGGGTGGGGAGACATTGTTATGTTATAAGTAATTTGTTGTACCTACCTGCAAATTATAGTACATATGTCGAAGAGAAATGTGGTTTTGTGCATTCGCTCTCTCAATTTCTTTAGTGACACAATGGCTACTCTTTTGTTTTGTACCAAAACGGCAACAAGCAAAATATTTTAATAAATTCTTTATTAAAATATTTTGCTTGTTGCCAAAAATATACCAGCACAAGCACGTGTTTATTATCAACTGTTAATTTTTTTTACTTTAACTGAAGTGAGAATAGATCCCGAAAAGTTACAAAGTGTTTTTTTCTACCGTTTTCCTTAACTTGCTGTGGCGATATGTGGTGTAAGGTTTGATTAGTGATATTTTCTTTCATTTTTATCACTAACCCACAAAAAGACAAAACTAAATACACTATCGATAACGCTTATCAACAACAATAATGCGCATCACTATGCCTGTCCATAAGGCTCATGAGTGGAAGGGAGAGCGAAATACTCGCTTCACCGCTCCGATTTTTTATGACCCAAACTGCACGGACAAAATAATTCTATAGTATAATTATGATTATTATAGTATGATTGTAATAAACAATCAACTCCAATGGTACTAAGCCCAGTTCACCATCTTGATACATCTTGTAATGTGAGTGAACCTGGCTTAAATACAAAAACTTCTTTAATAATCTGTTATTCCAAATTGTTGATATTTGGTTTCTGCAGTTTCTGTAACTAAATTTCATTTTAGAGTACGAGGCAGAAGTAGAGGAAGAAAGATTGAGAAAGGAGAAAGAAGCCAGAGAGAGACAAGATGTAATGACTCTTGGTTAGTAAATATTAATGTGTGATTATGCATACAAGAATTTAATATAGCTTTATATATTTAAAACTGAATGCACTCTTAGAATTATTTCATTGTAATACATTTCTTTTATCATTCATCATAATAATAAAAATCCTCTCTAGTGACCAGATAAAATAAAATTTTATAACAGATACCAATTATTCTTATATATAGATTCTTGACATTGAAATTTTTAATGGTATTCACTATTGGAGAACTAAATCTATATTGATTTTTACTCTTTCATAGGGAGTTATCTGCGGTGTACTACCATTGCCCTAATTATTACTGCAAAGCAATGCTATCGAATTTGTGAATGGTATAATAAAACTTTGCCTGATGTCTCTAGGTGAATGGTGGTATTTACTTTGTAATGTTACATGCTGCAGTAACAACATAATAATAGATAGGTGTTGAGCCTAACTATGTAATGGAAAAAATTCAAACAAATACAATTTATTAGAAAAAAAAACTTGATTATACAGAGGAAACGAAAGAGCAGATTGACCAGTTAGAACAAAAATTGAAACAGCTTGAGAAGGAGAAACAACAATTGTTCATGCGGCTTAAAAAAGTCCTCAATGAAGATGTTAGAAGGAGACAGAAAGAGACCAAGTGAGTTGTGTAATTATGTGTAAATTTGCTATTGAACTAATATTGATTTGGTATTTAGACTGAAATCGAATAGTTTTTACAATAGTCTGATATACATTTATTTGATGTTTCAGTGAAATGCAACCAATGAAAATGCAGCAAATGGGTAACATGCCAATGCCAATGTTCTCGATGCCTCCACAGCCAGGACAGGGTGAGCCTCCTCCCAATCAGGGTAGGCCTCCACCACATAACACACATATACTAAATAAGGTTTGTATAATCGTGAACTATATGGACATTACGCATATGAAATTACAAGAGTGAGAAGTTTTTGGGATCCAAAACCAAACCCTTGCAATAAGTATTTATAGCCAAATTCTGATTACATCCAAGATTATCAAGGTTCAAATCTAGTACATTCCTATTATTTTCCTATCATTGGATGCAACCCTGGTTCTCAGTGAGGGGGAAAACACTATGGTCTAAAAATGAAACCCACAAATATTTATAAATTAACGTAATTGTAAAATGAACAATTGACAGTGGGTCGGAATTAGCGTGAGCGGAAATACGATCGATATTTGATCAATAAAATTCAATTAAATCTTAAACTATCCTATTTCAGCAACACGGACAACAGATGGTCCGACCTATGCAATCTGGTGTGAAACGACCACGGAGTCCCTCACCTACGTATGCATTGTATGCACACAGATTACACCAGCCTCCCATGAAACATCAACCTGTTTACTCTGACCATAGTAAGTTTTCTTTCCACAGGCACACATCATAGGCTTTTATTTTTATCTCAAACTTAATCCAGTGCTAGATTAGGACCAGTACCTTAAGTAAAATTACATTTTAAATCATCTTTTAAAATTTGCGTCATTTTTAGTTTTAGAAATCCCTTCACGCTGTACATTAAATATAGATACCGGATATGTACTATTTACAACAATGTTATACCGTTACTGAAATCGGTAAACAAATTGTTGGTTAGTTTAAAAATATAAAAACTATAATGTCTTCAAAATGTAATCTCGAAAGACTAGTAGGTAGGGATGAATATTTTTTAAAGGAGATAAACTTTTTGAACACTTTTTGCAGAAGTAGAGGATGGTCGCATGGGTCGTCCGATGACACGCGCCGTGCTCTGGAACAGTGAGTTTGTCTTCGGTCACGTCATTTAGCTTGTCACTTCATCTCACAACTTAATATGCCTAAACACATTTTACATATTATCTGCCTTAAGGTTTTTGTTTATTTTTTCTTTATTAGAGCCATACACCTATTAGGTTAAGTCTGCCCTTAATGGCTATTGCAAAGTATTGCACTTTAAAACTAAAACTATATTCGATAAAGATCATATGGAAATGATATTTCAGTATCGGGGTTGATTGTCGTTTTGGTTTGTGATATTGATCTCAATATCACAAACCAAACAATTTGCCTAATGGATATCAGCATTATTTGTTTGTCATTTTAAGTTTAAACTTGTTGTATATAAGCAATAAGTTTTGCTAAATTTACTAAAAATTTTATGTGGTTTGCGGATTACTTCTAATATTACAGAATTCTTAGACTATTTCATTAATCTGATAGTCTTTGGGCTATGTTTTTGTATTTGTCACCTTATTTCACTAATAGCATGTTTTTTTTTCTCAATGACAAATAATTTTAATTTAACTTTTAGCTTTGTTGATGTGCAACTTTTTGACTAAACATACTTTATATGTGAAATCCAGTAGTGTTTTAATATATTTTTTCTTTGCACCGCTGATAATACCATTTTTATAAATTATATTTGAACGTTAGGAGTGTTTGTAAAAACCTTTAAATAGACTTTTATTCTTTGCTTTCCTTAGATAGAAAAGGGAAATTTAAATTAATGTTTTAAGTTTGCCTTGAAATATTGTTTATTAACTTTTATGAAGCATCACAGTAGTTTGTATCAGGGCATAATTAATTTGTGTTCAAACTTAAAAGGCAACAGTTCTTATACACTAAAATTTAGACTACCCTTTGGCTAAAAGTTAAAACCTCCCAACAGTATTAATAATACTTTTGGCACTAGGAGACTTTGGAAAATAAATAAATATTTGATATTAAATTGCTTGGAGCTATGTTAAGATAAATGAGACAACTACACCTAAATCCAAATACACGTAATAACTAGAAATGATATTCATCATGAACATAAGCCTTCCCTAATTTACACCACAGAGCCTACCTAGTCTTTGGCTTTCTTGATCTATTTCCTATTTTATATATTTTTTTATTAATATAATTTCGAAAAAAAAAACAGTACACGTAAATCTATATTAACCCTGTGACTGCCATGTAGGTCACCGGCGTCCTACGCGGCGCACTAACGTAATTATGTCGATTTCTATTACTATGTGCCTGCATTGTCTAACTTTGTCTCCTTTTGTATGTTAATGTACGTTTTAGTCTTTTAGGTCTCTTAGAAATAAGTTCATTCTCAGTATCTTCATATTCGTCTTTCGCAGTTGTGACTAAGGAGTCACAGAAATCGGGTAACCCTCAGACACAGCCCACTGAGTTTCTCGCCGGATCTTCTCAGTGGGTCGCGTTTCCGATCCGGTGGTAGATTCTGCGAAGCACGGCTCCTGCTAGGGTTCGTGTTAGCAACGTCATCATGTTTCAGCCCCGTGAGCTCACCTACTAGTTAAGACTACGTTGACATAGCCTCTCAAGGCTATCAGCTTAGGTAGGAAAAAAATAATACAGAAATCGGCATAATTACTTCAGTGCGCCGCGTAGGGCACCGGTGACCTACACGGCAGTCGAAGGGTTAAGCGCGATCTAAGACACGCATCTACGCGAACAGAAACGTCTCAGTACGGATCGAACGTGGGTCAGTCGTCGGTGTCGTCCGGCGGGTACTACAGCATGCCGTCGTCGGGCGTGGTGCCGGACCGGCCGCCGCCGCTGCTGTACGCGCACCACGCGCACACGCCGCACACTCCGCACACGCCGCACCACGCCAACCTCATGTACGCGCCCGCCCCGCAGCCCCCGCAGATGTACCTCGACATGCTCAAGAACAGGGACGGGCAGCATCAGGACCAGAAGAAGGACGGCCAGGTGCGTGTAAAGCCTTTGTGATGAGCATGCTCGCTCGGTTACGCTGGTATAGTTTCTCAGGGTATATCGAGTAGAAGGTACCCGCGCGGACTCACAAGAGGTCCTACCACCAGTAATTACGCAAATTATAATTTTGCGGGTTTGATTTTTATTACACGATGTTATTCCTTCACCGTAGAGGTCAATCGTGAACGTTTGTTAAGTACGCATTTCATTAGAAAAATTGGTACCCGCCTGCGGGATTCGAACATCGATGCATCGCTACATACGAATACACCGGATGTCTTATCCTTTGGGCCACGACGACTTTATGTGTAAAATTATACTGTACGTGTGTAACTTCTCCTAATCGGGTGGACCGATTTGAATGATTTTCTTTGTGTACGTTTGAATGGCTTAGATTCACAAATGGGTTCGGCAGATGGCGCTGCCGTCGGTATCTAGGTTATCTTTCCTATAAATAATTTATATGGAAAAAACAACGTTTGCCGGGTTAGCTAGTATCTTCATATAATATAATTATTATCACCTAGTGCCAAGCTTCGATTTCTCCGTTTCTTGTTAAAATTATAATACCGTACACTACAAAAATATTATGTGTTTATAAAATAGTGTGTTTGACTTGTTTATTTTGAGTGCAAATTTCACGTTAATCGAAGAGTAAATAACAAACCACAGACGAAAGACAGTAATGTGTAACGACAGACTGACTCGGTGGTGCAATGGTTATCGCTCCTAACTGCTGGACCGACGGTTGTGGGTTCGATTCCCGCATCAGACTTACATTCGTATGACGAACAATTTTGTTTGCAATTTGTCTGGGTGTTTAAAACCTGTCTATAAGTATCAGTATATCAGTTAGGTTCTGGTTTGGGGCCGGATAACCGTATGTGACTTGTCCCCCGGTTATTATTAGTTTTAATGGATCGATCCTGGTCACCAATGACGTAAGATTCCTGGTTAACAAAGACGTCATAATGGAATACAAACAAACAAGCAAACGATATAAACTGAATTGCGCGCTGCCCCGGCATTCCAAAGATGGCAGGAGCGGCGCACTGTCGTCACTTAGAATTAAGTTAGCTAGTAAGTTGAGGAGGAGAGATGGCGCGACATCGTGAGACGCATCAAGTCTGCCCCTTCCAACACTACATGACGATCACGACCACTCTGTCAAGAGTGACACGACTGAGAAGAAAAAAGATAGGTTACGATAAAAAAAAAAAAAAAAAAAAAAGATGGAGGAGAGAAGCAGCGGCCCTTAAGACAGAAGACAAAGAGGATGAAGAAAAGAATAGAAGTAAGGAAGATGAAGAAAAGATCATCATCACCTACGTCCCACCTAAATCGCTTCAAGCTTGCTTGCTACTCACAAACCCCCAGCTCATTACCCCTGCCTCCTCAGGCAGGGAGTCTCAAGACCGGGCAGACGGGTTTCCCTGAGGCCGGTACCGCGCCCCCGTAAAGGGTCGCGACGACCCGGCAGATATACTGAATCACGCTATGATCTGGTCTGGACCATGTCTGTCGTTTATTTATACCTCCAAATAATAAAAGTAAGATTCAGCTAACTTTATTCTTGTGTATTTGAAGTCTTGAAAATGTCCTATTCAGCAACCTCAAGTACTAATCGGGCTGAGCGACGCCCACCCGTCCGTGAGCAGCGGCGTCGCCTACCAGCCGCCGGTCAGCAGACACCTGTCCATCCACCCCCAGCAGCATAACAATATGCAGGTGTGTACAATGCCGATAAACGTGAGTCGTACATATAGCTTCTATATGTCGCAGAAGCGACCGATATCTTCATAATTTTTTTTTACATTATTGGCGCACGGTGGGTAGTCATACAAAATATTTGCGCAGTGCGAAGCGATGACAGTTCCGAGACATCTTCACTCCTCCTAGGTCAGGCTCTAGGGCCCTAAAACTGCGATACTTTAAGACAAATATTTGTTTGTATGGAAACTAGCGACATCTTGTAGCGGATCCCTTAAATTATATGTTGTTAAAGTTAGGGCATTTAATTATTGCATAACTAAACACATAATTTAGAAAATTAATAAATCATACAAATATTTATTTGTTATAGACAAATTGATGAAATTTTATAAACTTTTTGGTTTCTGAAAATTTACAAAATCCTTTATTACAAATAAAATATATAATAGGTTACTGCCATCTACAGGAGCAATGAGAAACTAATCGAAGCGTAACCATCTAGTGGCCGACGCCCGTAAACATTTTTGTTGAGTGCTTGAGTTGCTTATGTATAACTAATTTATGTGTATTGTCTATGAGTCAGACAATGAACGTGTCTCGATTCCACTCGAGCGATGACATCTCGACTCTGCACACCACCCGAACTGAGCCGACGTTTGACGAGTAGTTGCGGCTCACACACACTAGATGGCGCGCTTTCATTTCGTTTGTCGTGTCCGGACGCGACATATATATCAAAACTTACTATATATAAAAACTATATAACTTATAGATCAAAACAGCTTTGCCAAATGAGAATTTAATTTACAAAAAAAGCTGTATGTAATTTTTTCACTGCCAGTAGATACGTACGGTAAGACAGGGTAAAGTGGAGACAACTTGTGAGGTCCCTATGTACCAGCGGGGTACCCTAGGACTACAACACAACACAACACAACACAGTAGATACGGTAGATATAAAATAACAACGATAATAATACTGATTTCTATACAAAGCCCCGAATCCAGCTGGATAACGAAAGTTTTATGAGGTGTTGGTTGAAACGTTTCGCTATCAAACCGACTACCGGAACGATGATGGTTGAATCTACATGCCATATGGCTGTAGTCTCACGGGCCAAATATTCTGATAATAATAATAATTATATAGTACCTGTAGTTCTTTCCACAACAGCAGTAATTCCTTACCATCTTCACCATAGCCTTAAATTGGTCAATCTCAAACAAAATCTCTACATAACCCTCCAAAAAGCCGCAATTTTAAACATATGCCGAATCGTGAGGAAGTTTATGCAAGTTGACGATAACACACCATCACTCAACACACGAACATTATCATCAAGCAGTTAGCACTTGGCTTGCGTCCGTGCTAACATGCAATTACCGGCTCCTCCGAGAAAAGAAGTCGATAATAATAATAATATTATAATTTGTAAGTATAGAAAAGAGCGTATCTAATCTATATTTATTATCGATGATTTCAGGGCCCAAAACCCGGCAGCATAACCCAGGGCTACCCGGTGCAGCAGTCCAACCAGAACCCGAACATGTATCCCAGCAGACACCGTTATTAGCTGTTGCTTTTCAAACAGCACCTCGCCAAACAAACACCGTAGCGCCGCCCCTACCTACTAGGGATGTAGCGATGTTATACGTGGAACGATAATCGATTATAAGTTATCGATACTTTTTATTGCATTTTTTTAATCGGTTTTTAAGCTAGTGAGTGTGTTATTAGGGCCATGGTGGAAGTTAAATATTATAAATCGCGTTATTGTTAGTATACATGAACGAGGGAATGGAAATAATTTCGACATAACATAACATTTTTACTAAACGTTTAACGTTAATTTGTTAAGTTACTTTTAGATTATTATTTTTAATATGGCATCAAAATGATTTACATAAATATAAGTTGCTAAATTACCCACGTATTGACGTCGTTCGAATAACAGTGAAGAGAAAATAGACAATACAGTTTGTTTGTGCAGTGTTGTTAGACTCGTTTGTAACAGTCCGGAAAAAAAAACAAAAACTATATTTTAATGAGACAAAGAATTATAATAGATGTAGTGGCAAATGTTTATGCGATTGTGTAATTAGTCTTTGATTTTAATCGAACGTGTAGGCGAGCTCACTGGGCTCAGCCTGGGATACTTTGCTAACATCATCGTCCCTAGCAAGAGCAGTGCTTCGCTGAATCGCTACGGATCGGAATCGCGAACCACTGAGAAGATCCGGTTAGAAACTCAGTGGGCTGTGTCTATGGGTTAGTTTCCCGAGGACGGTGACCGGTTTTCTAGTCTGTAATCAAGCACACGTCTATTCGAAACGTCCGAGATCGTCAAATGAAAATAATGAAATGCACTTATTAAACCAATTTACAGTTAGAAAACTTACCACTATACTCTTTTTTTTTAATTGCCATTGTAGGCAGACGAGCGCACGGCCCACTTGATGGCGAGTGGTTACCGTCGCCCATGGACTTCAGCAATGCCAGGGGCAGAGCCAAGCCGCTTCCTACAAAATACTACAAAATTTATATTGTAACTACATATACGCATTGCGTATATTTTGACTGGCTCGGTTCAGTGCAGTAGTTAGCAGCCTCTGACTGTTGCGCCGAGGGTCGTGGGTTCGATTCCCACACCGGACAAACATTCGTGTGATGAACAAGTTTGTCTGCTCGTTGTTTGAGTGTTTATTATCTATATTCTAGCGACCCGCCCTCACTTCGCTTCGGAAACTGTAATTTATTATTGATTTCTCCACTATTTAATGGATGTTATTATACATATAACCCTTCCTCTTCAATCACTCTATCTATTAAAAAAAACCGCATCAAAATCCGTTGCGTAGTTTTAAAGATTTAAGCGTACATAAGGACAGAGAAAGCGACTTTGTTTTATACTATGTAGTGATGCATATATTTAAACGTATATAAGTATCTATATACTATGTACTCTGGTACCCATAACACAGGCAGAGGGAATCCTAATTTGGGGCCCGACGGCTATTCGTGATTTGTTCCCAGTTATTTTCTATTATATATTTCAGTTTTGCGTATGATCAGCAAATCATATTTTTTTGTCACCTTTTAGTCGAATGTGTTTTCTTATTCTGAACACAAAAAAAAATCTTATTAATAATGTAATGTAACTTGTAAATGGATGAATAATATAATTGTACCTTAAGATTTATTTTAGCGACTCGTATTTTGTATTTGTTATTAACAAGTAATGCTTTTAGCTACTACTGTAATTACCCGCTTTTAAGATAGCAATACAATTAATGTAAAAATAGCTATTATTTTTGGAAATGTAAAAGATGTGTAATAAATAAAAATCTTAAAATTTCTGAAGTATGGATTGTACCGCGTCCTAACAAAGTAATTATATATGAAGTAATGTTTCATCAATGATATTGATTTAGAAAATTATTATTTATTTCTTAGATGGGTTACACGAGCTTACAGCCCACCTGGTGTTAAGAGCCCATAGACATCTACAACGTAAATGCGACACCCACCTTGAGATATAAGTTCTAAGTCCTCAAGTATAGTTAGTTACAGCGGCTGCCTAACCCTATAAACCGAAACGCATTGCTGCTTCATGGCAGAAATAGGCAGGGTGGTGGTACCTACCCGCGCAGACTCACAAGAGGTCCTACCACCAGTAATTACGCAAATTATAATTTGTGGGTTTGATATTTATTACACGATGTTATTCCTTCACCGTGGAGATCAATCGTGAACATTTGTTGAGTACGTAATTAATTAGAAAAATCGGTACCCGCCTGCGGGAACCGAACACCGGTACAGTCGCATCGCTAGATACGAATGCACCGGACGTCTTATCCTTTAGGCCACGACTTAAAACACTAGGATGATTTCTTAATATACTAAGTAAATATATTATCACATAATTGTCCATACTGTTGTTTGTTTTATTTTGACCCTAAATATATTTTCAAGATATTATGTTAATTATACCAACATATTTCTTCAGTAGAGATTAGTGCTAGCCTAGTCAAAGCCTGCGAGTCCGATCTGAAGCCAGGATACCGAAGTTTCTGTAAGAAGTCGATAAGTAATGACATTTGATTTCAATTTGTAAGTGTTAAACTAGTACTTAAGTAATTTATATGCATTCAAAGCTCTGTAATCGCACAGAATAAATAGCTGTATAGTGATTTTGAATCTGCAAATTCGCCGCATGTCATGATGGATGTAAGATAAATTATTGCTATTTTTTAATTACTACGATATCTAGCCGAGCGACCTGGAGGTGGTTGATGGCGAATCTGGTGTTAAGTGGTTACAAGATAATTTTTTTCCCTACCTAAGCTGGTGATAGCCTTGAGAGCCTATTCCAGCATAACATTAACTAGTAGGTGAGCTCACGGGGCTCAAACCTGACGACGTTGCTAACGTTCCAGCGGCTTGGCTCTGCCCCTGGCATTGCTGAAGTCCATGGGCGACGGTAACCACTCACCATCAGGTGGGCCGTATGCCCGTCTGCCTACAAAGGCAATAAAAAAAAAAAAAAAAACACTTGAACCCTAGCAAGACGCAGAATCTACCACCGGATCGGAAACGCGACCCACTGAGAAGATCCGGCGAGAAACTCAGTGGGCTGTGTCTGAGAGTTAATTTACTCGTCGAGCCCTTCGTCGCAAGCGACGGGTTCGACGAAAACGGTGACCGGGGTACAGGAAGTTAAAGTTAAGCTTATAGAAGTTTAGAGATATCAGTCTGAGTGCGACTATCGCTTAAAACGCGTGGTCGAAGTCAAAATGGTATTGTGACAAGGTAAGCCCCACCCTTCAAACTGGAACAACGGATTAGATTTGGTGACTACCAGCATCCTAATTGTTCGAGATCGATCGCTGCTTATGGCGTTTTCGAAATTGTAATTTTGTCACGGCTTCGAAAGAAATTCGCCTTGTTCACATATAAGTACATATTTTTATCAGAAGAGTATATTCTCAATCTCGATCCTGTTTTTTATTTGATAACTGATATCATCAATATTAATATTTAATAACTGTAATGTGACCGGATTATATTTACCTTAGCACATTTGCTCGTTTGCGAAAGGCAAATAAGTGGTACAAATAATCAACATTTGCAAATGGGTTCCTAAGTAAAATGCAGAAGAAGGGAAGTCGTTTAGATCGAAAGGTTAAGGCAACGGTTGTGTCAAATGATGCAACTATAGCCAGTGTTCTCGATCGACTCCACAATCAAGGAATAACAACGTGTAATTAATATCAAACCAAGACAAATGATAATTGGTGGTAGGACCTCTTGTGAGTCCGCACGGGTAGGTACCACCGCCCCGCCTATTTCTGCCGTGAAGCAGTAATGCGTTTCGGTTTGAAGGGTGGGGCAGCCGTTGTAACTATACTGAGACCTTAGAATGTATATCTCAAGGTGTGTGGCGCATTTACGCTGTAGATGTCTATGGGCTCCAGTAACCACTTAACACCAGGTGGGCTGTGAGCTCGTCCACAGATCTAAGCAATAAAAAAATATAATAATAATATTGCGTACCTATTTCCCAATCGCATAGAATTTTGTAAGCCATCATCAAAGTCTATCTAGTCTAAAGACAGACTATTTCTGCAAACATTGAACATCGTACACTCACTTAACACTACAACTGTGAAGTCGTCCTTCTAGTATATATCTACCTAATAAATAAATAAAAATTACAATATCTAGCTTTATTACGTTCTAAAATATGTAGGTAGGTATGTGATGTCGTCGTCGTATGTTTTAGAAGTCGTCGTGGCCTAAAGGTTAAGACGTCCGGTGCATACGTGTTGAGCGGTGCACCGGTGTTCGAATCTCAGGCGAATACCAATTTTTCTAATGAAATACGAACTCAACAATTGTTCACGATTGACTTCCACGGTGAAGGAATAACATCGTGTAATAAAAATCAAACCCACAAAATTATAATTTGCGTAATTACTGGTGGTAGGACCTCTTGTGAGTCCGCACGGGTAGGTACCACCACCCTGCCTATTTCTGCTGCGAAGCAGTAATGCGTTTCGGTTTGAAGGGTGGGGCAGCCGTTCTAACTATACTTGAGATCTTAAAACTTTATATCTGAAGGTGGGTGGCGCATTTACGTTGTAGATGTCTATGGGCTCCTGTAACCACTTGATACCAGGTGGGCTGTAAGCTCGTCCACCCATCTAAGCAATAAAAAAAATGTTAGGTACGTCAAAAACATTGTAACTAAAAAACTTTTAAAACGTATTTTATTATGTTTGTCGGTTTGAGATTTTGTTTTACTCGTTTACGTCATGCCAGTACCTATCTCGTGCAACGACCGGTGAATGAAACTCTACAGAGGTGAGGGACGTTGGCTTGACCTGCAACTAGGACATACAGATCGATGCACGAACGCGGTGCAGCTTGTAAATGTTTTCACGCTATTCAATTCGTTGCGTACAATGCAATATTTTATTGGGTTCTAGCTGACCCGGTAGACTTCGTAATACCTCAATCGATAAATAAAAGAGCTAAACTTTTATATAAAATAAACTTAAAACAAACAAAAGGAATCTGTCCGATGGAGGACACATCATAGGAAAAACAAAATTGTTATTTTTATTTAATTCCGAGCATTTTCATGTTTAGGTATCTACCTTTTAAACCTTTTTTGGACTTGCACAAATAATTCAAGACTTACTATCGTACTACTACTACCACTACTTCAAGTTTTACTAACGAACAGCAATTCATTTATATAGGTATATATATATTTCTGTCCCAAGATCTTAGCATGATGTAAAAATAGGGAATGCATGCATGCTTAGGACCGGCGTATGCTTTTTAACGGGGAGACGATGATGATCTATCGGCATGTCTTCGATGTTCAGGAGTTGCCTCTTCTTTTTGAAACAAGAATACCCAGACCGGTATCTCCGGAAATGACGCAACGAAAAGATATTCCTGTATTAGTTTATTATATAAATTATACATTCCGATATTGGTCTTCCCCCTG